GTTGCACCATAAAATAACATGCATTTTATTATACGTATGAAAATTAAATCTTCTTTCATCAGAAAACATTACAAAGAGTGAAAAATGTAAATTACAGATTATGAGAAGATATTTTTAAACCATATAGTCGGCTTTTTTAACCTACTCATCTGTGGATGGACACTTTGATTGAATATCTTGGTTATTGTGAATGATGCTGCAATGAACACAGGAATTTAAATAGCTCTTTGATTTTCTAGTTTCCTTTACTTAGGGTATTGACTAGTAACAAAATAGCTGATCAAACAGTACTTTTAATTTGTGTTTTGAAACCCTCCATACTGTTTTCTATAATGACTATACTTATTGAATTGTTACTAACAAGTTATAAGAGCTTCTTTCTCTCCAAATCCTCTCTAGCACTTGTTATTCTTTGATTGTAGCCATTCTAACTAGGATGAGGGGCTCATTATTATTTTGACTAGCACTTTCCCGGTTATTAGTGAAATGACACAGGTTTTTAATGTATTTGTTGATCATTTGTATGTTTTCTTTGGAGAAATACTAACTCAGATAATTTGGGTATTTTTAAAAGTTGAATCATTTGAGGTTTTGCTTTTGGTGCTGTTGAGTTTTTTCCAAGATCTTTGCAAAGTCTGTCAGATGAGTAGTTGGCACATATTTCCCTCCTTCAGCAGGTTGTCTTTTAAGTTCATTGATAGTGGTCATTGCTGTACAGAAGTGTTTTGGCTCGACGTAATCCCATTTGTGAATGCTTGATTTTGTGACTATGCTTTAGGGGTCTTAGCCAAAAATATTCATTCCTTACGCTGACGTCGTAAGTCATTTTCCCTATGCTTTCTTCTTGTAGTTTCATGTTTTACATTTAGGTCTGTGATACATTTTGAATTTTGTAACTGGTAAAAAATAGACTTCTAGTTTAGTTCTTCTGCCTGTGGATATCCAGTTTTTCCAGCACAGTTATTGAAGACATTGTCCTTTGTTCATTGTATAGTTTTGATGCCCTTGATAAAGGTAATTTAACCGTAGATTCATGGGTTTTTTTTATTGGTTTTTGATTCTGTTCTTTTGGACTCTGTGTTGGATCTCACACAAGTATCATATGTGTAAAGTGCTATAGCTCCATAGTATGTTTTGAATTCAGATATGGAAATGTCGCCAGCTTTGTTCTCTGTGCTCCAGATTGCTTTAGTTATTCAGTGTCTTTTTTGCTTCCACATGTGTCTAACATCTTTTTCTATTTCTGTGAGAAATAACCTTGATATTTTTTATACTATTACTTTGAATCTATAAATTGCTTTCAGTAGTATGGACAATTAAAAAACATTAACTCCTTTAATCATCCAACATCCAAAATTATTTTTCTTTTTTTT